ACGTCGAAGACGAATACGAATATTAAAGGTATGCAGCCAAGGTATGTGATTTAGAAGAACTACGTGGACTTTGATTCCCAAATAAAGGGATACGTAGGCACCTTATTTAACATTATTAAGTTCGAGTATAATTTTTTGGCAACAAAATTTTTCATCGTACACGATATTCGAACTTAATAACTGTTAACTAAGCTCAAGTCCATTACATTAATAATTTTTTTCTTTACACTTATTCGACTTCATTTGACGTACAATTTAGCATTTCTAAACTACCTCAAGTTGTACTTCTCCGCCATACTCAATAAAATACAACACCGTTAACCGTTTGGTTCCAAGAATTGACGCCCGATCATTATTTTTGTTTCATTTTGAAATGATATAGACAAACAGACTCAAAAACTTATATTTTCGAAGTATATACAAACTATTTATTCAAATAAACATTAATATACATTAAAATAACAAAAAAAAAAAAAATTAAAAAACTCGCAAACCCGCCGGGCCCGACCCGGAACCGGTTCGACCCGCCGGGTTTGCGACCCGGCGGTTAAGGGCCGGTTCAGTGAACCGGCCCTTAGTTACAAGCGGGCCGGGCCCGGTTCAGCCCACGGTGAACCGCCGACCCGGCGGGCCGGGCCGGGTTTCGACCCGGCCCGGCAAATGAGAGGGGAGAACCTTGTTTGTTTGGTGTTTTTGGATGGGAGGATAAATTTTAATGAGGTCAAATTACCATTATGCTCTTAATATTTATATTATTTAACTTTTTTATCCTTTATATATTATTTAGCTTTTTTATCCTTTATATATTAAGAGCACATTTGTTACGCAAGATGAGATTGAATTAAAGCTGTTTTTAATGTGAAGATTGTCTTGTAGAGATTAGATTAGTCATTAGTTTGTTAAACATGATTGACACTATATAAGATTGTAGAAATATAATGTGGTATACATTTGTTGTCTATGACAACAAGTAGGATTAAAGGTTCATTTTACTAAATTGCCCTTAAATTAAAGTTGTTTATTTATTTAAATTGCATGCAAAGGTGCATGATTTTTTATGATGAAATTTTGCACACATTATTTTTCAAAAATACTACCCGATTTTTTTATACAGTTACAATTTTTTCATACTTCATGAAATGTGTTTATCATTAAATTTGTACATGGATAATATGGTTGAATTTTTTTTCCATTGTACTTATTTTATTTTTGGTTTCTTGTTTATTATCTGTTTATTTTTTTTTTATAAACATAGGTATTTTGATTACACCACAAAGTCCCGTGGTGAAAATTCCACTATAAGGCTTGACTTTTTATTATTGTCACAATAAGGCTTGACTTTTCAACTTTTTCATTTGAGAGTTTCAATTCCGAACCGCTATGCACCTGTCCTCTTTCTTTAGCCAAGTTATTCTCAATATAAGACCTACTTTTACATTATACTTTTCAATTTAAGACTCCAAATCACTTTGTATAATTATGTAAACCCCAATACTCTTTTTTTTTGTACTTATAATAAAAAATATTAAATATCTTTAATAATTTTTTTTCTTTTGTTTTTTTTCATATCTTTAGTAAAATTACCTAATAAAATATTTATTTCATAATTTACCTCTATGCAAAAGCTTAATGAAATTTATTTTAAAAGTTAAAATTTAATTTTTAATTACTTTTAAGATATATAAAATTAATGTCTATAATACAGTTATTAATTATATTTATAAAACTAGCTTCGGAAAAAAATTAATCCAAATTTGTTACATTTATGCAAAATAAATTTAGCTTAAATAAATTAATTTTATTATTAAAGTAATTTTACTAAATACATTTTTAATTATTTAATAAATATTTTTTTTTTTAAAAAAAAGAGTATTTTGGTATACATAATTATATCAAAATATAAAGTGATTTGGAGTCTTAAATTGAAAAGTAGAATGTAAAAATAGGCCTTATATTGAGAATAACTTAAAATTGAAACCTCAAATAAAAAGGTTGAAAATTCAGGCTGTGACAAAATAATAAAAAGTCAAGCATTACTATAAAACTAGCATTTGATCCTGTGCATTTGTACATATATAAAACACGTTTTTGTTTGTATTTATTAATTAGACATGTACTTCTATCATATAAAAATTATTACTTTTTCTTAAGTTATTTTTATCATTCAAAATTAATTGAGATTTAAATTTTATTTTAACCATGCAACGTTTACATTAGTACCAGGAATAAAATAATTTATAGATTTGTTGTATATATTAGAAAATTAACATAAATAAAAAAAAATTATTGGTGTTTCTGATTTTTAGAAAAAAAAATATGCGCCAATCATATTTTTCTTCTAACAATGCAACCAAATATAGCGGTTACAGCTCTGAATGTGTCAATCAACTTTAAGATCCAACATTAGCCGTTACACATTTGAATATCTTGTTACCAAATTTAGAATTAATTTAGTAATTGATCCAAAAAATAAATAATAAAAATATATATATTAAGGTGTAACGGTTTTAGCAGATTAGTG